TATCAAAGTTTGTTTTCAAGTTTTTGCAAAACTTGAGAAAGTGGAGTTGGAACACTTGCATTTTCACCCAGCGAATTGTTTGATTGATTGAAAATCATTTACAATATGAATTTTTTAGTTAATTATTAATTTACATTCTTCCCCAAAAATTAAAGTCGTCCTACCATCACATAAGAATAACATGTTTTCCAAAATCACTTCGAACGTTAACCAGATATCTGCAATTTCATATTTTTTACATTTTTTACATATTTTTCTATTTAATTTTTATGTTTATGAAACCTGGTATATATATTGGGTATGAGAGACCAATGTTAGAAAAAATTCATCTTGATTCAACTTAAAATATTAAAATTGTGGACATTTTAATTTTTTAACTTTATTACTAAAAATTGGGTGATTTTATAAAATAATGTTAAGAACATTACCTAATAAAACAGTTTTATGACCTTCTTGAGAGTGAAATAAAATCGCATGACCTTGAAAACAAACAGCAAAATATATTTAACGTAGACGAAACTGGAGTTCAGTTGATAAAAGAAGTTGGCAAAGTCGTGGCTAAAAAGGGAGCTAAAGTTGTTAGCAAAATTACTACTGAGGAAAAGGGTGAAACGGTCAGCATAGTAGTATGTTTCTCTGCTGAGGGTAGGTTCCTACCACCTGCAATTATCTACAAAGGGAAAACATGAAACCAGAGATTCAAGATGGCCTTCCTCCTGGGTCAACTGTTTGCATGAACCCAAGATCTGCCTACATAAATTCTGAAACATTTTTCAACTGGCAAGCTTCTTCTACAACTTTTTATTCACTATTATCAGCCTTATTCCATTGTTGAAGACAATGCTGTAGGTTTTATTATTTTTGTTACTGAGTTGAATCCTAATTATAAGCTGCTAAACAGAAAGACAATATAACTAAATACTATGATCCCTGCAGAGTACGAGGCATGCCAAAATGCACTTAGCATTTAATAAAATTTAGTTGAATGTGTTTGCCTAACTACCGATACGTGATTATAGGCTAATGTCGAAAACTATTTGGCAGTCACTACTCATAACATCACAAAGGACTATGAATTTAAGTCAGTACTGTTTGAATATTCGCAAATGACTGAGGATCACACCGGCGTTAACTTAGCAGAAGAAATAAACAAAGCTGATAAGTTTCACTTGATGGGCAAAATCATTCTTGTTTAATCTAATAATGCTCGAAACATTACAGGAGCCATGCTTAAAGTTCTGAAGGTTAAGCATTTCGGTTGCTTTGCACACACGTTGAACTTGATACTAAAAGATGCCCTGAAAGAGGTAAAATGGTTGTCGGATGAAATAAAAACAATTGTTTATATTTTAATAGAAGTACCACTGCAACCGTAAAGCTCAATCAGTCACAAAGACAACTTGGGCTTGAATCGAAGAAGCTTTCTCAGGAAGTTCCAACGAGATGGAACTCCACGTTCTATATGCTTTCTCGAATGAGTGAGCTTATAGACCTGGTGAAAACTACTATTACTCTCATCAATAAAGATCTTCACATCTTTACAGAGGAAGAATGGAAAGTATCCTAAGAACTGAGTGTAGTTTTAGAACCATTTGAAGATGTAACAAAAAGGATCAGTGGTGAAGTTTATCTGACAGGAAGTTAAATTAGACCACTAAAAATGTCTTAACGAAGGTATACAAGGAAAGTGAGGAAGGAGTCTTTCAATCCAGTGATACTAAAAGTAGTGGATCAATTAAAGATTGGTCTTGGTACTAGGCTAGTAAACATAGAAGCGAATAAACTTATTGCCCTTTCCTCAATTTTGGATCCACCATTTAAAGGGGCATTTTTCACAGATGAAAGTTATGTTAAATCAGTCAAGGCATACTACACAGAATCGATGGCTGCAGTTTGGAATGAAGTCACCAAAAGCACTCTATCGACGCTATATTTTAAATCCAATCAGGCAAATGGAAATTAGCTTAGTCTGCAGGTTTGCTGCGGTAGGGGTATTTTTAGAATCAGATAGTCATTTATTATTATCTAACCTACCTAACATAACTGTGGAATCCATAAGATATACAACATAATTTTTATTTTATGTTCAACAGTTGCTATACCTACTTTCAACCTGGAAAACAAAAACAATACCTGACACTGGATATTACGATTGTTAAAACTAGTTAGCGAAACTTAACTAATTTGAAACTAGCAGTTTTAGTTTAGGGTAAATAAAATAGAAATGTCTATAGACTTTTATAACTATTGTAGTGTTTTCCATTAACAATTTAACCTTTACATTTCTGTTATGTTTTCGGAAATAAATCTATTCTTCTATTGACCATAGTTACGAAGTAATGTGTAGTTAATAGTTCGTCAAGTATAGTAGCTTATAGTGTATTTTTCACTGTAAAGACAGAAGACCTACTGGTGCATTGAGTTTAGATAAAGTGATAAATTTGGAGAAACCTTCTACATTCTACTGATCATGATTACTGTGAAGTGTTTAGTTCTATGTCTAGTGGTTCAAGCACAGCCATACTCTTGTCCCAAGATATCGACGGTGATTGTAGTACAGTACTTCTACATCAACATCGTCCTACAGTTTAACACCAGGATGTAGCACCAGTATCACGGTATACATGCATGACATAATTGTGACGGCAGATGACATACTGTAGATAAAATGAAAGTTGACTCACCAGATCCGAAATCCAAAGGTAGGAGCAGGAAAGTAAGGAAATATCCAGTGAAACGTAAATTTGTCAGCCAGTAGGAGAAACCAAAATTCAAATACTGGATTACAAAAGGGAAAGAAATACTCAGTGGAGCTGATTGTGCATACTGCAAAGTAAGCTGTACGATTGTAATGTCCCACAAAACAGACCTAAGAAGACATCAAGAACGCTTAACACCAAATTGCAGCAAAACCGTTTCCAAAGTTATAGCCTACTAATTCCTAAATTTTCAGATGTCTGAATCGTTACATGTAAACAGAGCTATGGTAAAACTGGCAGGCTTTAATAGCCGCCGAATGTCTAGCAATCAACCTAATGAACTGTGGAAGTGGGCACCATGTCGCCTCTGATGGGAAATTTGTTCCCCGGCTCAAAAATACAGCGGCCTCACTACTTTTTAGTGCGATTTTGTCCAGTTTTCTCTCAATGTTTACTATATTACATTTTATGAAAAACGAAGAGCTGTTTGAAATAATTCTTACTTCTAGCTGTCACTGATATGTTTACATTGAATGATGTTTACAAATACCGCAACCATTTCCGATCACGTTTTGTAAGCGCATCCAAACCAATTGGGATTAAAAACATTGTGCCTTGTACAGTATAACGGATCTGATTAATCGTAAGTGCAACAATTATTCTTGAGTTTTGATAACCGGGAAAAGGACCGTGAATCAGTGTTGTATAGGCCTGGGAAACTTAAATGTTTTAATCATCGTCGCCAATAGCTTACAAACAAGGTATTCACTCATTGACGGAGCTTCAAGGACAGTTGTGTAAAGTGCAAAGTAAATCACAACTACAGTGGGTGATCGTGGATGTTGCTGTATTTTTGAAAGATCTTTCCGATTTCGCTGTGATCGTAACAGAGGTTTAATTTACAGATGTAGCTAAACTTGCTTTTCCAATTTGTCATTTTTGGTTTCTACTCACCTCTTTGTACAACAATCGCTGGACCATACCTCCAATCTTGGCCCATAGCCCATCTCTTGGGTACGTGGGCATAATTATTCACAATCACATTTCGACGACGATTCTTGATACCGGTATTTACATGCCCCTAGAATACAAAGCCTTCCTACTTAGGATATAAAACTACAAACGTCCAAAACTCCAGCATTGTGCGAATTTGTCACATTTCCTCCTAATGTTTGCTAATACGAATCATTGTTTAGAGATTACGCGATCTATCTATATAAATAAAATTTGAGTTTTGTGTGTGCATAGCTCAGAATTATAAATTTTTAGGTTATTTTTACGTTTTATACAATAAAAAAGCCGAACAAGTTTCATCTCAATTTCTGTCTGTCTGTCTGTCACGGCCCAAGAACAATTATACACGGCCTTCTCCTGAAAAAAATAGAGTATCTATCAAGATCCAAATCATTTTAATGTATTCACTGGATTGGCGAGAGTGTCTTTAGCTACAAAAATATGGCCTCACTAATTTTAATATATAATGACAGACGTTTAAAACACCAATTTTGCGCGATTTTTGTTAAGTTTTCTCCCAATGTTTAGCACATAATCATCTATGAAATAACGGACAGCTGTTCGGATCAAAATTAATTTTTCTAGTTGTCACTGATATGTTTACATTGAATGTAGTTTACAAATACCGCATCCATTTCCGATCGTGTTTTGAAAGCAAAACAAAACCAAGTGAGATTAAAAATGTGTTTCCTTACATAACGGATTTAATTAATCGCGAGTACGATAATGTGTAGGGTAACCGTAAATGAAAATAGAGATTCTTTGTGTATACAATTGTTCTTGAGTTATAATAACAGGGAAGAAACCTTGAATCAGTGTTATGGCTGGGAAACTTATATTTTTTAATCAAGCGTTACCAAGAGCTTACAAAATCCAACTCATTGATGGCACTTCAATGGCGGTTGTGTAAAGTGTAAAGTGACAACTACAGTGGGTGATTGTAACAGAGGTTTACGGATTATGCTCAACTCGCTTTTCCAATGTGTCTTCTCACCGCTATGTGCTGCAATCGCTGGACAATACAGCCGATAGGCCAATTGCTCATCTCTTGGGTTCGTAGGCCTAAACAACTATTCATAACCAAATTTCGACAACGATCCTTGATACCGGCACATTTACCTATATAGAATAAGTCAACGAATACTAGCTACGTCTTCCAAAAACGTAAAAGAAACCGGTGTGAGGTACAGTGTGTGTGCTGTTTAAAATAGATTACCGATATTGACATGTTTTATAAGAATCAAAACCATTTCCACCATAAGAATATTAACTTACCGTACCTTTATTTATTTATTAGAGTTATAATATATATTAGGAGTGAAATTTTTTATTGTTTACATGTTTTAATTCAGAAAAATGCAAAGAATGCAGAATATATTATACTGAATTTTTAGACTAACTATGATGCCTCTATTGTACATACCGTGCTTAGGCCTATACGGACAACCAAAACACCTTTACACACTTTGTAGAGCATATTTCAGTCAGTTGGACATATTACTAGAATAATTACTTGTTAACGCTGACTCATATTCTAAAATAAGATCTTCACAAGAAGTCTTACAAAGTTCCAGTTCATTTTCAAGGTCATCGAAACCAGAAAGACTCATCATCTGTGTTATATAGGCTTTACGTGAGTAGAGCTTGCCAAACTGTGTAAGTGTGCTGTAGAAGAAGCTGACAATGGCCGAATGGTTCACCATACTGAGCCCTGACACACGATTGGGATGAGTTTGGTAGGGCGACCACGGACATAATGTTGTCTGGTACAGAGACATGGGCTTTGCCCAAGCTAGATAACTTGCCTTCTGTAAAAACTCTTGGCGACTATTTTTCAACACTCCCAGATTTTCTTTATGACTATTTCCTTGGATAACATTAAAAACAGAAATATAACCGTGACGAGATATTTTGGGATATTTGATAGAAACTAACATATTATTCATCTTTCCCAGATGACTTAACACTGATTCTATTGACGTTTTGACGACGTTCACGGAAGCTGGTGAGTTAAAAGACCTGAGAGGTGTGTACCCAGTCATGAGGAAGTGAAATTTAGGAGCAGGTGTGAGGGCAAGTACCACCTCACTCAGTGAGTTGAACATCATGCCGGGGTATCTGATTGGGCCTAGAGAAGCTGTCATTACATCGGAAGCGACTTTATTGATATTAGCAAAAGATGGAAGGGGGAGGAAGTTAGATTTTGATGTTTTATTGTGTAAAGCCAAGTTGTCCAATACTATAACACTGTCCGCATAGTTGGTCAATCTCATAAGTGTAAGCAATGAATTGTAAGGTTCTATAACCACGTCCGTGTACTGACCTTCCTTCAATCCCGATTCAGACACTTGGCTTACAGAGGTTGGAAAAACACTGTACGTTTGTATAGTTTTTTTGGGATACACCTCAGTGAGGAGCTCCAATACGGAAGAACCCATACCAGCTCCTGTTCCTCCTGAAATAGCATGGGTAATTAAAAATCCCTCAAGACAATCCATTGTCTCTGTCTCACGCTGAATCAAATCTAAAAGAATCTCTTTGTATTTCTGAGATTGGTTGAAGCCTGTAGCCCAGTTGTTCCCTGCTCCACCACCATCCTGCCCGATGAACATGTTCTGCGCATCAAATAGCTTCCTGCACGCAGAATTACGTATGTTATGAATGACTCGAGGCTCTAGATCTAGCATGATACATCGTGGGACTAGTAGCCCAGAGTCTAACTCATGGAAGAAACTATTCTTGTTGTCAATTCCCTGTAGAAAATTTGAAGGTCCAATTTGGCCCTCCAAGTTCAAACCATGTTCCAAAGCCATGTTTTGCCAAAATTGCAGCCCAATTGAGTTTCCACACTGCCCGATTTGAAATGAGAGTATTTGTTTTGACATTTTTCTAATTTAAAATTGATACGTGGTTAACGAATTCATAAAAAGTAAGTAATCGTATCGTTTAAAAGCTTAGATTCTTTTGAAACAAACTGATCATTTTATAATAAAAATATTTACATAAAAAGTATGAAAATGTACAGATGTTATAAGTCATATGTTATTAAGTGTTAAAGATAGTCCAAATGTTCTAAACAAATCTATTGTGACTGTGATCAAGGCATCACTAGAAAAACGTAAAAAAATTGTTTCTAGTGGGGCCTTACTGTGATACTATCCAGTCTAGCCTGAACATGGGTGGATCCAAGAAAGAGATGTATTTCCTTCCACCATGCCCCCCCCCTTTTGAAAAATATATCTAAAAATATCAAAACCTAAGAACATTAAATGTGTTCTTAAAATAATATTTTGAAACAAATTTTGTCCATAACAGTGACATGTCCATTGTTATAAACAAATGTAATTTAAAAGAATACACGAAATAAAAATGTTATTTTATATATTTTTTTGTTATTTACAACTTGTACAATTACCTTACAGTATATTTAGTTAAACATTTATATCTATAATTGCATGTGATTCATTTATTTTTCTGACCACTGACTCTCATGGTTGTCCCCAACCTCTTCATGAGACTTCTCCAGCTCAGTGTTTGCTGCTGTCTGTTGGTTGCTGTTGTTTTGGCGTCTCTCTTGGCTGAACCCTCTCCAAGTTGTGCCGTGTCTTTCTGAGGACCAAGCTCAACCAAGACTTGCGCATCAACATTCCTGCCGAGTCTGAAGCCAAGTCCAAATCTGGAATCTTGGCCTAAAAAACACTACTTTATTAGTATATTTTAGTATAAGTTATACAGTATGTTGAAACTATAGGGATTAAATCTAAATTTTGTTTAATGGGAGTGGAGCTTTCATTGGATGTTGTCATTACATTTACATCTAAATCTGATTTAGCATTTATTTCCTCTTCTTCTAATAATGATTTATTTAGATTTTCTTGATAGATTTCTAAATCCTGATCAGATATTTTATTTTTAACTATTAAAAATTTCTCTGACAGATCTCTTATCTTTGATTCTAGCTGCTCTAGTGTGATAGCTAAACTTGGGATGACTTGACATTGTTTTAGGTTAGTGATTCTTAACTGTACATGACTTAACTTAGCCTTTATCTTAGCTATTTGTAGGTTAGTAGGATTTTCTTCAGCTTGTTCAATCAATAACCCTAGTAAGTCTATTTTAGCCTGTACTGTGTTAAATTCTTCATTTACACTAAGTTTGCCAGTTAAGTTAGATATATCTGGCAATGTACTTATAATACACCGTAGTTCCTTTCTTAATGCTTCTACATTATCATGTGTAGATTCTTGATTTCTACACAAAATCTCATATTTGAGTTCGTCCTTACTCAAATAATTAATATTGAATTTTTCCATTACGGAAAATTATTATTCAATTTAATTCACCATTTAATTTCCCTGTGATTATTATGCTTGAAATATAATCACTTCATATAATATTGACAGTCTGTTTTGTATTTAGCTTGAAGTTTGCTTGTTAAATAAATATTTAATTTTTTTTTAATTTGGCAAGTTGACAAGTCAGCAGAGTCGCGCACTTTTATGTACCGCAAGCCTTGAACCAAGTGCTTGCATTTGATGGTAAAATGATTAATTGCATAATTTGCACTTTTTGTTCAAACACTTGATGATATAGGGTAATTTACAAGATGTTTTAGATAGCAGCAGTGTTGGTTCCCCATGTATCACTTTGCCCAATTATATGCCAATTTTGGGACAAACAGTACTTTACTATTTGAATTTCCCCTTGTCTAGCCTTTTTAAATATTAAATATTATTTTCTTCTTCAGATATTCATATGCTATACTACAATTGGTTAAATGGTGAGCAATCAACGATCTTCATAGTAATATACATGACATTTAATTAAATCAAATTCTTCCCTTCTAAGTACATTACTTCTTGTAACTAATTACTTCTAATATAAAAAAAAACAGTCTTACTTTAGTCAGTAGACTTGCAAATATAGCACCGGACTGGTACCCCAGGGCTCGGATTCGAGTTGTCAAATTGATAGCCACAGCACACTTGAAACTCGTTCTGGAAATATGTCCAGAAAATACTAGTAAAAGGTAATCATTATTTTAATATTAGAGCATTTTAAAATATATTCATACCTTTCACAGCATGTGATTTCCTGACCAAAACAATCATGAATAGTACTGTGACAATTGTTACTTTACATTTTAATTTAACAGTTTCTCAAGGTGAAGTTATATAAAATCATCACATACTTATTAATTCAAACATATTAACATTAATTAGCATAGCTTGAATAATATTTAATTAATTTTCAACATTTGTGAAACATGTGCTTTTTATACAATCTGTAACAGGAAATTGACTTTGTATTTACATTACAATATTACACTTTGTGATCACTTGCAAAAATATGAATTCATTATTTTTGACCATATAAGAGTCTTGATACCTGAAATACAATACATTATACATTTGTTCAACTTAATATTATAATTAAATAATTGTAACTTACATGACAACGAGTGTGTGTTTGCTATGGGGCCCAGACATGAACTAGAACTGAACTAATGACTTTACCATGAATCTCATCTTTGACCAAGGATGATAACAGCTGATTTGCAGGATAGCCAACAGGTTAGAGTGATTTGCTCTTCTTAACCAAACAACAAATTATATCATATACAATACTGTATTTTATCCTAAGTGCTCATTTAATTTACTTTGTTTTAAAATGATGAAAATTAAAATATTTACATAGTAGTACAAAATATCCCCACGCTTCTCAATTTTCAGCTATTTTAAAACTAAACACTTTCATTTATGAACTATTATAACTTAAAATAATATTTCCTTCTTTTCATTTATCATTTGAATTCGTGCCTTTTTATCAACAATGCTAAGACAACGTACTGCACAGCTGATAACCTGCAATAGTACACATCTTTGCTGTCTGAGCGCAGCACTGACCAGGCGGCGGGTCATTGCATTATTACTGTAATACCAACCTCATGTTTTACATACAACTTATTTAATTGCATCCATTTCACCGATATGAGTTTCATAACTGATACATTTTGCCCTTCAAATTACTAAACGACCTCTATTTACAAGAAAATTCATTATTATAATATAAACCAAACCATGTCTGTGAGTTTAAAATCGTAATACATTTATTTAAATACAACATTTCTGTATTTCTCAAACAAGGAAACAAGTTGCGTTGGCAATACTGGTCGCGTGATTTCAGATATTATTTTATTCCTAGCTACACATTCTTCTTTTTCATTATGTATCTGTTTAACGTGTGCGTGTGTCGTGTTGTGTTTGTGTTAAATCGTGTGTTTTTAGTGTTTAAAATCTAAATACTATACAATCCGATGTGTAACTGACTGGGGATACAAATTCTAGACCACTTCTAGATGAGCTAGAGACTTGAAATTTTCGGTGGTTGTAGGTCTAGTGCCCAAACTACCCATAAAATTCCAAAAAGTCGCATTTTCAAATTTTAACCCCCCCGAAATTTCGAATTTCCCCCCCATGCTATTCTTATGGGGAATAACATTAAAAATGGCCGACTTTCGTGTTCCCATCTGAACCACTTAGAAACGTGCTAGAGACAGTTCGAAAACTGTAAGGGCTAGAAAAGATTTGAAAGATTTTTCATGAACAGGAATTAAATTTTCTACAAAACCCTTTTAAGCGGTACCCGAAAATCGCACTCCTTCAGCTTCAAAAAACGCCCTACTTTCAAAATTTGGTATATTTCTATAAAATTTTTACCGGTTTTCGCAATTTTTTTTACTTCAATAATTTATTTTTGCAAATATTATTATTGCTTTTCTCTTACTTTGCTTTAAATTTTACTCATTAAATTTTTGTTTCGTAACTTTACTCCTTGACCCCCAAAACTACGAGCCCAATGTTATTATTATGGAGAATTACATTGAAATTTAATGACTTTGTTATGGTCATCAGAATCGTTTAGAATCGTGCTAGAGACTTGTAATTTGGCAGTATTGTAGTATGGGATACTAAGTTAAAGGTGAAATTTGCAAAAGTCACATTTTAAAATTTTTAACTCCCCAAAAATCCAAAATGGCGGATATCTAAAGACGATATAACACGTTTTTTACGGCTATAACTAAAAAGCAATAGGAGCTAGCCAAGATTTGAATGGATTTTCATGTTCAGGAATTTAATTTTCTAGAAAACCCTTACACGTGTTTTCCGAAAATTTCTCCCCTTCACCCCTAAAAAACGTCCTACTTTCAGAAATTGGTATTTTTCAAATTTTTACCGGTTTTCCCTATTTTTACATACTTAAATAATCACTTTTTGCAAATGTTATTAATGCTTTGTATTTTCCTTGGCTTAATTTCGGTTTTAATCATACATGTTTTTTCGTAACTTTACTCCTTGACCCCCAAAACTTAAGTTTAATATCAAAATTTAAAAGGTTTCACCAGTTTCACGAGGTAATAATAGACTCTTTACCTTTTCTGTATGCACAAGGTTATTAAAACTATACAAAGTTTACTGTATTAGAGCTAACACCAAGGTATGAATATAATAAGGACCATTTAAAAAGTCCCCCCCCCCTCTCGAAATCCCACTTATATCTATCCTATAGCCACCACAGATTCATCGGTCTAAATCACGTTTACCAATTTCTAGATTAGCTAAAAATCCTGAAATTTGCACCCTGTCCCCCTGAAAAATTTTACCCCCAATTTTCGCTACTTTTCCCAATCTAAGTAAATTCTTTTTGCAAACATTATTAATATTTTGTATATACTCTGGTTTACTTAAAGTTTAATCCCCCTATCGTATTTCCAACCCCCCCTCCCTAATATTTTATCCTCCCCCGCCCCAATGTTATTCTTACAGGTGCGTAAGTCTAAATCACGTTTACCCATTTGTAGATTAACTGGATGTCTGAAATTTGGCCCGATTGTAGGTCTTGCGCCCTGTCCCCCGTGGCTCATTTACCCCCAACCAAAAAAGGGGGCCTGGGGGCGGAGCCCCCAGCG